CCACAAAGATATCTAAACAGGTGCACACACACTCCTCTTGGTACAGTGTGTGTGTGTGTGTGTGTGTGTGTGTGTGTGTGTGTGTGTGTGTGTGTGTGTGTGTGTGTGTGTGTGTGTGTGTGTGAGTGAGACATGTCACATCTGTTATGTAACGACCTGACACCGTGACCTTGCTGTTATTAGCTTAGCCTGCTAGCTGGACACAGGAAGTAAAGTGTACTGTGGGGTGGGTGCTCGCTGACGCAGAACAACTGAAGTGTGTAAAAGTCAGCCGGGATCTGGACGCGCTCCACCTTGTGACTCAGCAGGCGTAACCCGCTGTGATGGCTTTAAAGCTTCCTGTGTGACTTCGTCAGTCTCACGCTGTGGAGGAGTCTGGTGTTTGTGTTTGGTCACCACGGAAACGGCGTGATGTAGAGCAGAGCTCATTAAGGCCCTCTGACCTCCTGATGGTGAAACGGCGTGCCCTCAGATTCCCTCTTCCTTCATCGAAGCTTTGAGCGTCTCTGAGGTCAACCGTCAAACGCCATAAATAATGCTGCGTCCATGTTTGACTCAGCACTGGTTATCTGTCGGTTAGCTGTTCTGACTCCACCCACCACAGGAAGTTCTCTTACTTATAGAGCACACACAGCAACAGCAGGCGCTGAGGTGCCTTCAGTGCAGTAAGATCAGGATCTCTGAGCCTTGTTCATGGCATCATCAACATCTTTCTCTTCTTCCTCTCCTGCAGTCGTGGGATGTGTTTTTCCGGAACGCCAACGCTGGCGCTCCTCCCGGCGCCGCCTACCAGTCTCCTCTGGGGCTGTCTGCAGCGTCCAGCCTCGTCGCCCCCCAGCTCTCCTCTCTGGTCGGAGCTCAGCCCAACGTGGAGAAGCTGGTGGAGGATCACCTGGCTGTGCAGTCGCTCATCAGGGCCTACCAGGTACACACACACAAACACGATCAATGCATCCATAAGATTATTGAAAAGCCTGTGTTTGTCAGTGACCTCTGACCTTTGGCTACTGATAGAGTGAAGCCTGTGCTGTAAAATGTTTTCCTGTTTGTTCACCTGCTTATTGATGGCTGCTGTTTGTTGATGGAGACGTTGGTGTGGTGAGTTTAGGTCTTCACAGGTCACACAAACTCAGCCTGATCAATAATTGATGATCAGCATCCATCAGAGCAGAGTGTCGACAACATCCACAGTAGGGCTGGGCGATATGGCCTAAAATCCATATCACAGTGTAATTTGAAACATGTGCTTAAAGGATTTTAAGGCGCACTTAAAATCCTTTAATTTTCTCAAAAATCAACAGTGAGCCTTACGTATGAATTCTGGTTGTGCTTACTGACCTCGAACTGATTTTATGTGCTACACGGCGCTCAAACATCGGTCAAAAATGTTTTAGTGCGACTTAGCTTCAGGTCCCAAAGTCAAACGAACACTGAGAGTTAAAACTGTCTAAATTCTTTCATCTTTTATAAAATGATCAGTGTTGCTGCTTTACCAGGTGTAACTATGAAGTTTAACATCCATGAAAACAGGATTATTACATTTAACAGAGTTAGAAGTTAGCAGGAAGTTAGCTCGCTGGCTTCCACCTAAGCATGATATAGCATGTTCTGACTGAGAGATTTCTGAAAGAATTCAAACGTACAGCTCTGCTGTCACGTCCAACATAGATGAAGACTTTAAACTAAACAGCAGTGGTGTTTGTAAAGTTACTGAAGTTGGGCTAGCTGCTATATAATGATGTGCTACGTGACCGCTAGCAAAACAGCTATGTTAGCATAAACACAGTGAAGCTGGAGGATGAACACTAACACTTTTCCACTCGATAAAAGTTAACGTGAAGGTTCCTGATGGTTAGAGACAAATACAGTCGCATGGCAGGATGCTGTAAACAGACCAAACTTCAGTCAGGAGAACAACTGAGATAATCCATCCACAATACGAGGTTAGTCATTCATATACTGCAACAACATGGGAAGTTCAAAGTGACTCTGCAGCAACAGGAAGTGCAGCCGGCTGGATTAAAGCCCGAATCCTGACCCTGACCCTGACGTGACGTGACGCTGTCATAAGGACCTGTGAGGGCCTGAGCTTCCTGTTGTGGTGTGTGTGTGTGTTCAGGTGATGGGTCATCACAATGCCCACCTGGATCCACTGGGAATCAGCTGTGTGAATTTTGATGACGCTCCGGTGAATGCCGGCTTCCAGGATGTTGGTGAGAGCGCCGCAACTAAACCACCAAACAGACCGTGATGTTAACTTTGCTTTTCCCTCCCACCCGCCCTCTCTCCTCCTCCCTCTCTCCTCCTCCTCCTCCTCTCTAACACTTCCTGTTTTTCCTAACTTTTCACCGTTTCTCCCGTTTCTGATTTCTTCCCTCGATCCTGCTTCTCATCTGCTCCGCTCTTCATCCTCTGTCTGTTATTTGGTTGCATCTCCTCCTCCTCCTCCTTCATCTCACCCTGTTCTCACCCCCCCCTTCCTGCCCTGGGTGGGCTCTGTGCTGTTGTCACTTCCTGTAGATCCGAGGGCACCACGTGGCCCAGTTGGACCCCCTCGGCATCATGGACGCCGATCTGGATTCGTGTGTCCCCACTGACATTATCACGTCCTCCGACAAGCTGGGTGAGGAGCTGACCCTCAGAAATCGACCCCCTCTTCGTGTGTTCAGCGCTCCTCCTCGTTGGCTGGAGGAGTCTCTGAAACGTTATCGTACAGCAGAAGAGTTTCTTCTGCTGTACGATAACGTTCTGTTTTTAAATCGAGCTCTGTTTCAGGATTTTATTCTTTGTCTAAACTGAATCGTTCTTCCTCATCTAACATCTGAAGACCTTCGTTCTGTGATGAAGGTCCGAGAATTAACCTCAAATCATTTCAGTGTTTCCCACACGGAGACGTGAGGAGAGACCGCACGGCTGTGCTGACGTGAACGTTAGTGCCAGTTTATTCATCAGTCTGGATCATCACATGTTTGTGACACTTGTGATCATTTAAGTTCATTTAACAAACAAACTAAATGTTATTTTTTTGTTATTTTAGTTTAAATATGATATTTTAATTAAAACGAAGAGCTTAAGGCTGTAACCCTCAAACTGTGACACGGGTTCTGATCATGTGGTTCACAGTGAGGCTGCAGCGCTGTTACTCTGTAATAAACAGCATTTACCAGATCAGAGGTTCAGTCCTGCGTCTGTGTAAACTCTCGGTGGTGGTGTGTAGTCGCAGTCTCTCCTCCACGCTCTGTTGAAGTGTGGATGGTTTTCTTCAGTTTGTGGGAAACACTGAAAACATTGACACAATCCTAATCCCGAGTTTAAAATCTGGATGATTCTCTGAGATCTAAAAAGCCTGACTGAAGGTGTTTTTAATGAAAGGGGAACGTCCTTTTTCCTGAAGGTGATTACGTCCCCGCCGAGGACCGAAAGCTTTCTCAGGGCCTCTGTAGAAAACGTCCTGATTCGGTGTGGCTCCAGGAGGCCTGGCGGTAACCGGCTTCACTGCCTCAGACCTCACGCTCAGACTCAGAGCTCCTCTCCGCTGGAAAACACGATCGGCATTAGTGATTCAGCAGGATGAAGCCTTTAATGGTTCTCAGCCGCCTGAGTCCGTTTCTGTTGGACGCGAGTCGCCCATCGTTGACTCCACGTGGAGTCGTAGGATATCTGGAACTGTGGCGCAGCTTTTACTTTGAAGGGCAGCATTCTCGGTTTCCTGTTTGGGCCGCAGCGATCTGTTGGTGACCAGAACAATCAGCGGTCTGCTCGCGCTCGCTTCGTTTAGACTCACCACAGCGGGCCGTGTAGAAACGGCGTGGATGATGACACTCGTTTATTAAAGCTTCTCATTCAAACCGAGCGACCCGCGAGCTGTCCGAGCGTTTCCTCCACGCACGCGTTCACGGAGCCCAGTGTGAACACGAGACCTGCCAAAGATCACAGAATCTTTCTGAAGATGAAAAACGCGGCGTCGGAGTCTCTGGGCAGCGGCGGGCTGCTGCTGTAGTTGAGCTTCTGCTGCGTGACGCCTGGCTGTGCACCACGTTAGCCAGAGCGCTCCTCCACTGCTAATCCTGCTCAGATCTTTTCCTGCAAGTTTGGACCTGAAACCCCGCCAAGATGACCGTGAGTCTAAGACGCTCCGTCTCAGAGCTCTTCCTCGTCTTCCTCTCAGGACATTTATTAAATAACAGCAGTCCTGGTTCCAGGTTCTTTTAAACCACCACAGTGGAAGACGAGGATAAAGCAGTACTTCCTGTTTGTTCGCAGTCTGAATGTTGCTAACGGCTCATTAACATTCAGCTTCGGCTTCAATCTGTGTCGTCAGAAACAGGAAACAGGAAGTCAAAGATCAAAGGTTTGTGGCTTCGCCTCACTGTCTGCGGCTAAATAAACCCCTGAAGCTGTGACTCCACCCACTGTTACACATCAGGACACGCCCCCTCTCGAGCTGCTCTGTGTGCCATGTTCAGTTTGTTGTATTAGCGCTCCCAGGAAGTAGTCCGTCTGAAGGTGACCTGAATGGCCTCGGTGTGGGACGGCTGTGGCGACGCTGTTTAACCTTAGCATGGCGCTACATGTGTCTCTCCTTCTCCACTGCTCCTTCTTCTTCTTTGATCGTGGGGTCAGACGGTGGTGGAGACGCGAGATGCGGGGCGGCTGCTGCGCTGATGAGGCTGTAGGCCGGTGTGGTGGTGTTGGTGCTGGTGGTGTGTAAAGGGGGTTGCAGGTCATTAATGGTGTCCGGGTGTCTCTTCCCTTTGCTGCCCCCTGCTGGTGACCCGTCCAGACGTGGCTGTGTTCAAGGAGAGGCTGCACATTCTCACGGTCGGAGGTACGAGAACCAGCACTGCTGTGAAGTCAGTAGTTGATCTGTAGTGGAGTTTGTCAGTGCAGTAGTTTGAAGGAAACATCTGCAGGAGCTGAAAGCATCAACGCAGCAGACGGCGGGCTCCTGAGCTCCTGCAGAGGGCGCCGCAGCGCTGCGGAGAGATTTCATCTGGTTCAGCATCTGATTCTGTCTTTGTGCAGGAGTTGAAGCACGTTTGTGACCTTGCAGCGGTTTAACCAAACTGGAAGCATGTTCACATGTGCAGCTGCAATCCTCAGATCCTCTCACCAGCCCCACGCTCACCTGGCCAGAGTGTACCTGCAGGCCTGTGTTGGGCAGTAATGTGCACCCAGACAAATGTATAAATAATCACATGATTAGAGGGATATGTCTTCATGAAGCAGAGTATAAACTGTAATTTTATGTCTCAGTTTATCACTTTCACCTGCTGCTGTAGTTTCAGTAAATGTGACATCAGTTAGTTTTGTTTTTTAGAAAGAAAGCGAGCATCAACAGGTGAGACGGGAAAATAAAAATCGTGCAGACGGTCACGCCGGCAGCATCGTCTGCCTGAAATGTCTCAGACTCTGCTGCTTCTTTACTCCTGTGGATTCTGTCTCAGTGGGCTGAACCACGGTGAAATCTCCCTGTAGCCTGAGCAGCACACAGGAAACACTGAGAGGAAGTTCATCCCGTCTGACTTGACAGGCTCCGCCTCCTCTCAGGGTCCCCTGTGCTCAGCTTTGTTAGCTGCTGCTAGCGTGCTGACCCCCACTCTGTCCCACAGTTCACCGTTATGTTCATTAGTGTCTGGGCCTGACTCTGAATGTGCTCTGAACTATGGCTTGATGCATGCTCCATCATCCAGGTAAGGAAATCCCAAAAAGTTGTCCTCAGATGCAGATGTGTCCACGTGGATTAAACATATTTATATACTGGTTATTAATAAAATCAGGGTGTTGTTACTGGGCAGCTCCTCCCTGCTGGCAGATGTCACTGTTCAGTTTAACAGGTAACTGAAGCTCACCTCCTGCACAGACTACAGTGATGTTCAGCGATGCTGAAAATTAAGGCGAACCCTGAAAGAAGCAACGCGGTAGTTCCTCCAGCATCCAGCCGGGGCAGCAGCGAGTCAGTCCCAATGTTAAACGTGTCCAGCAGCCTGAGACACAAACTCTGTGGATAATTGGGTCGGGATGATGTTACAGCTCACATTAGCATTAAAGGGTTTTTTTAGGGGCGTGGCCTCTTTTTGTAGCTGCTAGGTGTCTGCTAGGCTAATCCATAGCTTTCATGTGATGTCAGATCTACTGGGATACGCCTGCCTGGCCGCTCAGAGTACGGCACAAATGTGCGCGCACACCTTTCCTAACCCCGCCTGACAGGTAGTTTGTTTAAGCTAGCTATGTAGCGCTTTGCATCAGTTACCCGTCCAGATGAAAAATACATGTCGCACGTCGAAAGCGTTCATCCAGTCAGCAGTGAGCAATGCTCTACAACAGACATGGTGCTCAGGGGGAGGGGCTTAGATAAAGCTGCCCTGTTTAGTGACATCAGATTACCAATAACATGGCTGCTGTGAGCTCACTGTACTAACAGACCGTCTAAGAAGACTGAGCTGCAGTTTCAGTGAGTGAAGTTCTGGGATATTTGGGTGTTATTGATTAGCAGGGGTGTGTATGATGTCACAGATCTGCCATACTGTCCTTGTAGACGCAGCTGGTTATGAATCTGTAAATGTACTGCAGTGACGTCTGGATCGGTCTTTGGGGCGTCTGACATCTAGGGCTGCCACAAACGACTATTTTGATAGTCGACTAATCAGATCATCATCCATTGGAGTAAAACGTACAGCTTATTGCACCAGCAGCATCTGCTCTTATATAACTATCATTAGCTTACAGCTTTAAGTGTTTAAGGTCTGTGCTAACTAAAAATAAAGACAAGATGATAGTTTATTAAATTTTAATGAAATTTGCAGATTGTTTCGGTGAAGTTTAATAAACTCCTTGCTATCTAAAATATAACAGGACACCGGAGTAAATTCTCCAGCATCTCACACTTCTGATAATCAGCTGTCTGCTTGACGTTTATTCAGCTGTGTAAAAACTATAACTTTAATCTCAGCCAAACCGATTTACTCAGGAACAAATAAAATACTAAAAAAGCCAAACAACAACATTTTAAGTTATCTAAGTGACTCATATATCATGTTTAACCTGAGTAGCGAAAGACGGCGGTGGGTTTGAAAACGATTTGCCGGGAGTCCGGTGTTCTCACGGCGCTAGTGACCTAGCCCCCGGCTAGCTATCGAGCTAGTGGGTAACAGACGTCTCCGAAAACGTCGGAGCGCTTTTGAAAATATGTGGTGTCCTGATAAACTGAGCAGATATTTGAGGTTTACACAGCTACATTCTCGCCTGAAAATATGTTAAACGTTTATTTTGTGACCCAGAAAGAATAATAAGAGTAACATTAAAACTAACTAGCTGCCGCCATTGTTGGAAACTAAGCTGGGCCGCGCTATGAATTCTGGGACACAGCTTCTTCTTCTTCGGGGTTTAACGGCAGCTGGCATCCTTGTACATGCAGTGCTGCCATCTTCTGTTTCAGTCCGTTATTACACTCTTAAATCCTGCTACTTATTCCTGCGTCTTTTGGGATCTTACAAAGCTTCAAACGACGCGTCGGCTAATAAATTAGTCGTCGACGATTTTGACATTCGACTAATCGTGGCAGCCCTACTGATATCTGAGCACTGACGCTGCTTCACGTCGTGTAATGTCAGTGACCTCGCGCGTGTTTCAGCTCAGTGCGTCGATCCCGTTTCCTCAAGTTTAGCTTCATGTTTTTGGACAGAAGCATGAAAAAAATGTTACTGAGCCCCAAATCGAGGCTGGGAGGAGAAAGTGTTCCGCCTGTGTGTTCCAGCCCTGTCACCAGGTTCAAAGCCGACCTGAAACAGAATATATCAGTCAGACTGTCTCAGCAGGACAACTGCACAGAGCAGCAAGAAGCTGTGCGTAAACTGCCCGCTGGTGCTCCACAGGTCACACTGGTCTGAGTCCAGCTGTTACTGTCACAGAGGGCAGGGACTGAGCACTGACCTCAGGACAGAGCCTCTGTTTTTACTCGAGAACAAAGACGTCAGAGGTGCTTTGTAAAAAACATCCTCAGCACGTTTCATCTGAGCTGCAGCTCCAGATGTTTCACTGAGGTCAGTTTAGCAGCTGTCTGAGGTTTGTTCCTCAAAATATGAAAGATCCTGAAACAGACGTCAGGATGGCAGCACACACTCAGACCTGCACACATGGGGCAGCATTACATCTACTCTATCTACACACAGGCCCCGCTTTAAAGTAATAAACTGCTTTCAGTACAAAAGCAATGACAGGCTGAAATGTTTAGAAAGAGAAAACGGGTGGATGAAAAGGGAGTTCAGTCCAGGAGGGCACGACACACACAGTTACTACAGACCAATGGTCGCACAGACCGACAGAAATGCTTACAGACTCAGGAGAAGGCAGACGTGGGGGCGCCGGTGGTGGTCTGTGGGAGCGCCGGTGGTGGTCTGTGGGGGCGCCGGTGGTGGTCTGTGGGGGCTGTCAGCCGAGCGTCCATGGGGACATCCTGCTTTGCTATGTGAGGTAGATTGAGCCTTTTGAGTGGCTCCTTTGCATGTGTGCGGGTTCTCTGATTGGCTGAGCCTGAAGTGAGACTGCAGACAGGACGAGTGCTCAAAGAGACGCTCCTCCAACTTCATCACACCTCCTCCCCTAACGTCCCAGAATCAGTTTAAAGTCAAATGATCCCGTTCTGTCATCACTGCTTCTTCAGCTTATCGCTGTGCTGACGTGGAGTTTCGTATCGGAGACCAGCGCCGACACGCAGGTCATCAGAAACGCTCCTGGTGTTTCTGTTTCAGAGCACAGGAGCTCGGAGATCCTCACAAACCCCACGGAGTCCGAGTTTGAAACTGTCTCACTGTGTTCACCAGATTATATCTGATCACGTTAATCAATGATGACATCCTGAAGGTTTCAGCCCCGAGGCTTCATATTGCAAGGTAGACTCTACAATAATACAATCATGTGACCCCGTATGAGCAAGCACTTTGGCGACCGTAGGAAGGAAGAACTCCCTTTTAACTTTCATGTTTTCCCCGCTTCAGTGACGCCGTTTGACCCCGAGTCTGTGAGCTTGTGTATTTGAGAATAGCAGCTGTGCAGCGTTCGGCTGCTGCAGGAAGTCACCCGTTACAGCATGTTGAAGCGACGCCCACAGACGTGAGGGTCAGTAACAGTTCATCAACCTGACGAGTGGCGTGCGGCGCGACGAGCCGGCTGTGACCACAGGATCAGCTCTGAATGGGTCTCGCTGCACTAATGAATCAAACGCACCCTTTCCTGTACAGCGCCGTGTTTTTACTCACGCCTCAGTCAGCTCGCGCTCCAATAGTTTCCTACGCTCACGGCTGCACGCCGCAGCAGGTCTGACCGTCACACGGCGAGCGTTTGTTAGGAAGCGGTGTGAAACGGTATTCACGTCCTTATGATTCAAACAGACGTCCTGCAGGTTCAGGTGGAGAAACCTGCGGCGCCTCAGTGGACTGAAGCTGCTGTTCTTGTGAAGGTGCTGCAGCAGCGATGATGATGATGATGAAGGCGGTCTGTCGAGCTTTCAGGCTGCTGATTGGTCTAAACTGTCGACGCTAACGACTTATTTTATTTGTTTTGGACCCACAACACCACCTCCTCTGCTGTCCTAAAACCATTAAAACCTCCACTACTCTAATGCCACCTCCTCCGCCTGCTCCTCTTCATCTGCTCCTCCTCACACCCCCCCCTTACCCCTGCTCTCCTCACCCCCCCCCTTAACCACTGCTTCCTCCCTCTTCCTCCTCTCCCTCTAACCCCTGACTACCCTAACCTACCCTATTACCTCCTCCCCTGCTCCTCCTCATCCTCCTGCATGTGTAAATCTCCCCCTTTCTGTTGATTAAAACTTGTCTTCATCACTAACTCCTTGTACACGTTTTTCTGTCTCACCTCTTCTCCTCCCTTCTTTCTCCTCGTTCTCCTGCTCCTCCCCCTCCCCTCTTGCTCCGTGGTGCTTCATGGGACTTGTAGGCTTCTACGGTCTGGAGGAGTCGGACCTGGAAAAAGTGTTCCGGCTTCCCACCACCACCTTCATCGGCGGCTCGGAGAGCGTGCTACCGCTGAAGGAGATCATCCGCCGGCTGGAGGTGAACGCACACACACACAGACACACACACAGGAAGTGGAAATGAGCAGTTGAAATGTTTTACAGGCAAATTATTCAGGACAATGACTGTGTGCGTGTGTGTGTGCGTGTGTGTGGTGTGTGTGTGCGTGTGTGCGCGTGTGTGTGTGCGCGTGTGTGGTGTGTGTGTGTGTGTGTGCGTGTGTGTGTGTGTGTGTGTGTGTGTCTGTGCGTGTGTGCGTGTGTGTGTGCGTGCGTGTGCGCGTGGTGGCGCGTGTGTGTGTGTGTGTGTGTGCGCGTGTGTGTGTGTGCGCGTGTGTGTGTGCGCGTGTGTGTGTGTGCGCGCGTGTGCGTGTGTGTGGCGCGTGTGTGTGCGCGTGTGTGTGTGCGTGTCGTGTGTGTGTGTCTGTGTGTGCTGTGCTGTGTGTGTCTGTGTGTGCGGTGTGTGTGTGTCGTGTGTGTGTGCGTGTGTGTGTGCTGTGTGTGTGCGCGTGTGTGTGTGCGTGTGCGTGTGTGTGCGTGTGTGTGCGCGTGTGTGTCGGCTGCGTGTGTGTGGCGTGGTGTCCGTGTGTGCGGTGTGTGTGCGCGTGTGCGCGTGTGTGTGCGTGTGTCGGTGCAGATGGCGTACTGTCAGCACATCGGGGTGGAGTTCATGTTCATCAACGACCTGGATCAGTGTCAGTGGATCAGGCAGAAGTTTGAGACTCCGGGCGTGATGCAGTTCACTCTGGAGGAGAAGCGGACGCTGCTGGCCCGCATGGTCCGCTCCACCAGGTCAGAACCCCCACACACTCAGGTCCCTCACGCAGATTCATCCACACACTGATTTTATAAGCTGGAGCAGGAGGGAGAAGCCACAGAAGACCCAAAGATGAACCCTGAGGTGCGTCAGCATCGTAAACCACCACGAGCCGTTTCTGACAGCTTGTGGTGGTTTTACCCGCAGCGAAACTCAAGCCCGCCACTTCAGTCACCTCAGCTTTCTGAGAAACAGAAGCTCAGTGCTCTGGTGTTTCAGTCATAACCAGTTTGATCCTCACGCTGGTCCCATCGATGGGATGTCTGCTGTGAAATCTGCCACTGCAACACGGAGTCGTTGGGAAACACGGTGCGGCTGCAATAAGCGAATCTGCAGTCTGCGTTGGGAATAACCGGCGTGTTTGCCTGTGTTCAGGTTTGAGGAGTTCCTGCAGAAGAAGTGGTCTGCAGAGAAGCGCTTCGGCCTGGAGGGCTGCGAGTCTCTGATCCCCGCCCTGAAGACCATCATCGACAAGTCGTCTGAGAACGGCGTGGAGAACGTCATCATGGGAATGCCCCACAGGTAAAACCACACGCTGCTGTTCTCTGTTACTTGACCGCACGCACGCCGCTCCACAGTCGATGACACCTGCGTGATGTCATCAGAAAGGAGGCAGCAGCTTCCAGGAGAAATCTGCATCCAATCAGCGAGTTTGATGGCGTCAGCGCTCCTCAAGGTTACAAAAGCAGCAGCCCGACAGTGACGCACTGAAGACAGGAGTCGGAGCACAAACATGTTGAAATGTTGGCTTTTAATTTTAATGTATTTCTGCTTCAGTCAAAGACGACAGAGTAAATAAATACAGGCTCAGCTCACACCTGTGTGAAGACGAACGCCGCGAGCGCGCCGTGATGGCCTCTGTGTCTTTCAGGGGTCGTCTCAACGTCCTGGCCAACGTGATCCGGAAAGAGCTGGAGCAGATCTTCTGTCAGTTCGACTCCAAACTGGAAGCAGCTGATGAGGTCGCTGTTTTTACTGCTGTTTGTTCGTTTACTCTCGATTTTCTTTCCCCGTCTGATCCAACCTGTCGTGGTTGTCCTCAGGGCTCCGGCGACGTGAAGTACCACCTGGGGATGTACCATCGCCGCATCAACCGCGTGACGGACAGGAACATCACGCTGTCTCTGGTAGCGAACCCGTCTCACCTGGAGGCCGTGGACCCCGTGGTTCAGGGAAAGACCAAAGCTGACCAGTTCTACTGCGGGGACACAGACGGGAAAAGAGTAAGTCTGGCGGAAGTACTCGGATACTTTATAGTAGAGATACTGCACTGTGAAGATACTGTTACAGGTCCAGGTAGTTTTTCTAGCTCAGAGCAGACTCGACCTTCAGGTAAACAGCGCAGGCTTGTTTTTTTTCCTGGAAACTGTTGGAGGTGTTTCTGTGCAGGACGAGCTTTCGACCAATCACAGACTGACAAAGTGTCATTAAGTTCATGTGTTCTCTGCGCAGGTGATGTCCATCCTGCTGCACGGAGACGCCGCGTTCGCCGGTCAGGGCATCGTCTATGAGACCTTCCACCTGTCCGACCTGCCGTCCTACACCACGCACGGCACCGTGCACGTCGTGGTCAACAACCAGGTAACGCCACAAAGAAACAGACCGTGAGCCGCTAACGCAGCCCGCCGTGCAAACACCTCTCTGTCGTCGTGTCTGCAGATCGGCTTCACCACCGACCCTCGCATGGCCCGCTCCTCGCCGTACCCCACAGACGTGGCTCGTGTCGTCAACGCTCCCATCTTCCACGTGAACGCCGACGACCCCGAAGCCGTCATCTACGTCTGCAAGGTGGCGGCTGAGTGGAGAGCCACCTTCCACAAAGATGTCGTGGTCGACCTGGTCAGTAAAGACGCAGACAAACACTCTCTGACACGAAGCTTTCAAAGCTGATCGCCGACATCTGGAGTTTGCTCCCACCTGTTCACACAGCTGGAAACAGTCTTTACAGTGTGTGTGTGTGTGTGTGTGTGTGTGTGTGTGTGTGTGCAGGTGTGTTACCGTCGGATGGGTCATAACGAGATGGACGAGCCGATGTTCACTCAGCCGCTGATGTACAAGCAGATCAAGAAGCAGAAGCCGGTCCTGCAGAAATACGCCGAGAAGCTGATCGCAGAGGGAGCCGTGAGCCGGCAGGAGTATGAGGTAGGACTCGCCCACCAGGCGAATCCTGCTTACAGGTCACCGTGATGTCACTTCCTGAACGTTTGTCTGTTTGCAGGAGGAGATCGCCAAGTACGATAAGATCTGTGAGGAGGCGTACGCTCGCTCCAAGGACGAGAAGATCCTGCACATCAAGCACTGGCTGGACTCCCCGTGGCCCGGTGAGAGGGCGAGGAAGCGGGGTCGAGTCACTGTCAGCTTCCTGATCGCACAGATTCAACTCTCAGGACGTTGTTTTCACTCTGGCGTTCAGCTCCAGACTGTTAACCCTTTAAACTCGCTGTTTTCAGGTTTTTTCACCCTGGACGGTCAACCAAAGTCGATGAGCTGCCCCTCCACCGGCCTGACCGAAGACAACCTGAACCACATCGGACAGGCGGCCTCGTCCGTCCCCGTGGAGGACTTCACCATCCACGGAGGTCGAGAACGGCACCGCCTTCTGACCCGGCAAACGGGAACGAAGACGTTCAGCTGACGCTGTCGTTTCTCGCCGCAGGTCTGAGCCGAATCCTGAAGGGCCGCGCCGAGATGGTGAAGAACCGGATGGTGGACTGGGCCCTGGGCGAGTACATGGCCTTCGGATCGCTGCTGAAAGAGGGGATCCACATCAGGCTGTCGGGGCAGGACGTGGAGCGCGGGACCTTCAGGTAAACCTGTAGGCGTGTCTGGCAGCGGCATGTGACACACAAAGCAGAGAGAGCTAAAGAAGCGAAAAACCACGACACAAAATAAACTGATGGCGTGACGTCAGGAGGAGACGAGCGGCTCGGAAAACGCCCCCGATCGTCTCGGTCTGCTCGTCTTGACGCCGTTAGCAAGTTAGCGCAGAGCGCGGGTGGTTGACGGGTGTCCTCTGTGTGTCCCCTCACAGCCACCGTCACCACGTCCTCCACGACCAGAACGTGGACAAGAGGACCTGCATCCCCATGAACCACCTGTCCCCGGACCAGGCGCCGTACACCGTCTGCAACAGCTCGCTGTCAGAGTACGGCGTGCTCGGTCAGTCCTCGCTCTCCACAGATGATGCGTCATCGATAGCGTCTGTGTTTTTGCCTGATGGTTGTTTCTGTGTCTGCAGGCTTCGAGCTGGGATTCGCCATGGCGAGCCCGAACGCTCTGATCCTGTGGGAGGCTCAGTTTGGAGACTTCCAGAACACGGCGCAGTGCATCATCGACCAGTTCATCTGCGCCGGGCAGGCCAAGTGGGTGAGGCAGAACGGCATCGTGCTGCTGCTGCCGCACGGCATGGAGGGCATGGTGAGGACGCCGCCGCACCTTCCTCCTCCTCCTCCTCACTGACTGAAAACCAAAGACAACACAGTGTCGATAAGTCTGAGCTGATCAGTGTTCCTGATCTGTGATCGTTTATTTCTGATAATCAACACGTGCTCGCTGCTCTGTCTGAATGTTCTCCTCAGGGTCCCGAACACTCGTCAGCTCGTCCCGAGAGATTCCTCCAGATGTGCAACGATGACCCCGACGTCCTGCCGGTGAGACGCACACACAGAGCAGTGATTTCAGAGCGGTGTGTGTGTGTGTGTGTGTGTGTGTGTGTGTGTGTGTGTGTGTGTGTGTGCTGTGTGTGTTTTGATGCTGGTTTCTGTCCCTCAGAACATCACCGAGGACCTCGCCGTGCGTCAGCTCTACGACTGTAACTGGATCGTGGTGAACTGCTCAACGCCTGCAAACTACTTCCACGTTCTCCGACGGCAGATCCTGCTGCCCTTCAGGAAGCCCGTGAGCCTCACACACACACACACACACACACACACACACACACACAACAATGTGATGGACCGAGCAGTGAAGGAAACTTAGGCACAGGTTAAAGTCCAAAAAAAAATTTTTTATTTAACCCAAAAAAAAAAAAAAAAAAAAAAAAAAAAAAAAAAAAAAAAAAAAAAAAAAAAAAAAAAAAAAAAAAAAAAAAAAAAAAAAAAAAAACCCAAAAAACATAATTGGTTAACTCATGCAAAAAGAATCAAAATCTTGGGCCCATAAAGGAGGTCAAAGTAACACAACTCTACTCAAAGTTGACAACACAACTGATAACTCAACCAAACTGACCTCACTTAACGAGACAAAGGGGAAACTTAAATAGAGGCTGACCAGCCCACAGAAAACAGGAGAAGGGCTAAAACACACAAAACCTAACTAAACATAATGAACTCCAATTCCCCCCCATGGTCCCGCGTTATGGCATGAACCAATTTGCAGTCTTCCTTTAAAGCTTGCTCCGCCCCTTTTCCACCTCTTGGCTCCTTAATCAAGGGACTGGAACAGCTGCAACTACGGTAACTCAGAAAACAAAAGTTTAATCATACATAACAGTGTAAACTACAATGTGCGCACTTATTTTAGAATGCAGCGTTATGTGGATATGTGAATTAACTCTAAACCAAAACCAGTTATTTATTGTCCTGTAAATTAATTCCTATATTTAAAGAAAGAAATGTGAATGCAATGTTATAAGCCTCTACACTAACATGGTGGGTGTTACCACTGTGTGGCTGTAAGTGCAGCCATCACACACACACACACACACACACACACTAAAACCAGTGTTAGCCTTAAAGCGGAGTCTGGGGGCGTAGACGTGTGGACGACTCATCACGAGTCTCCCTGTGAAAACATGCTGTTCAGCCTAATGTCATGTGACCAACTTCCTGTTTGTGTCCCCAGCTGATCATCTTCACTCCCAAGTCTCTGCTGCGTCACCCCGAGGCCCGATCGAGCTTCGACGAGATGCTGCCCGGTAACGCCTCCACCCACACCTGCAGCTCTAACGGCTCTGACGAACCGAGCCTGAACCCTCCCTCTCTCCTTACTTCTCATTCATCCTCCTCTTCTTTGTCTTTTCCTTTTGTTCGTCTTTATCCTTCTTCCATGCTTTCCCTTTTTCTTCCACCTCCTCTTCCTCGCTGCAGGAACTCACTTCCAGCGGCTGATCCCGGAGGTGGGCGTGGCGGCCGAGCGTCCAGAGGCCGTGAAGCGGCTGATCTTCTGCACAGGAAAGGTTTACTACGAGCTGACCAAAGAGCGGAAGAGCAGAGGCCTGGAGGACACGGTGGCCATCAGCCGCATTGAGCAGGTACACGCATGCCACACGGAGACTTCTGATTGGCTGCAGCCAGGGGCTTACGGTGTCAAAGGAGTCAGCTGACTCATACTCTAAAGTAGCTTTAGTTACAGTCTTTAGGGGATTACAGGAAAGAGAACTCGGCGGCAGTGGCTGGTGAACAGGCAGTAACGGCACGCCGTCTCTCCCCGCAGCTCTCCCCGTTCCCCTTCGACCAGGTGAAGGCGGAGACGGAGCGCTTCCCCAACGCCGACCTGGTCTGGTGTCAGGAGGAGCACAAGAACCAGGGTTACTATGACTACGTGAAGCCTCGCATCAGGACCACCACGCAGAAAGCCAAGCCCGTTTGGTAACCACCATCACCGTCATCGTGATCAGACCATCTGTCCACCACCGTGCAACCTCTGACCACACCCTCTCTGTGTTTCAGGTATGCTGGCAGAGACCCGGCAGCCGCTCCCGCCACAGGAAACAAAAACACTCACCTGATCGAGCTGCGGCGCTTCCTGGACACGGCCTTCCACCTGGACGCGTTCAGAGACCAGCAGTGATCACGTGACCTGCAGCACCTGGAATCAGCCCTCACCCGTCTCGCCTCCATTCACACTCACAACACACAGTCAGCCCTCTGTACGGCTGAGCACACCGCACAGCAGGAGGTCCATTCAGAAAATCACCGACCAGAACATCACAGCGGGAGGCGGAGCCTCAGATTCAAATTTAAACTTTATTCTCCTGGTTTGTGACGGACAGAAACATTCCCGTAATCATCAAAGACGAAACGAGCTGCCGTTTTTCTCTCTGAGCTGTCTTTGTCCATCAGACCTCACATTAACGTCACCATGACGCCGAGGGAAGCTAAAATCAGACAGATTCTCAATGGACTTCTGAACTGACGTCCAACTATTAGCACTTTGACGCATTCACACATATACACAGTCATCATCTGATCAGGTCTGAAACATTTGAGACTAAACCAATCAAAGTCTAAAAATAGCAACAATTTGGCATAACAGCAGGTTTACGCCAAATAATCTGAGTGTTTATTCTGAATCATAAATATGGTTATGATTTAAAAACTTTATCAGTTTCTTGGACAAACACGGGCAGCAAAAAGCAGCAACGTTGGTCTTAAATTAGATATATTTTGAATGAAGTCTGGTGCTGTTCACGTCTTCAGATAGTAGCTGTTAGCATTGTTAGCACTTCCTATTTAAAAGCAATGGGAGTCCAGCTAGCTGCAGAGAGCAGGTTTTTTTCACCTTTCAACAGGTGAGTTCGCTCATTACGGAAAGGCTGATGTGTTCAATGAAAGTGAAAGTCACAGCAAACCGATCTGCTCTCAAACAGCCGGTTCAGAAGTCCATTAAGAATGTGTTTTCAGCTTTTCCTCAGAGTCAGTGATGCATCCTGCTCGGCTGCTTCGGCAGCACCAAATCAAGCTTAAAAAAAAAACCCGCAGAGGAAAACTGGAGCTTGTTATTAACATGTTGGTATTAAATTAGCCCACCTCGCTTTGCTGGCAGTGTCAGGGCTGAGGTCGCCTTCAGGCTCAGCTTCACCCAGCCACCGAGGCCGCTCAGCTTCAGCGTACTCTTCTCACCTGGGATAAAGTTTCAGACTTTTTTAAACCTTTTTAAATGTATTTAAAGCAGGAGGGTCTGAAACAGGAAGACGAAGGAAGCATCATAACACTGAGTTCAGAGCGTTTCAGAGGTTTAACTCTGACGTATTTGTTTGTGAACGTCTAAAAGAGTAAAATCTGCTCTTAAACTAAAGTTTGAAGTGTGGAAGGCGTCAGATTCATACGCAGAGTTTGAGTTACAGAGTTGGACCTGAGAGAAAAATAAACTGAACTACAGCATGAATAATAATAATATGCATTCTTAAATTAGATGAATTCTCATTAGAGTCTGGTGCTGTTGTTCTGTTTTAGTGTGTGAACAGTTTAGCCGATGAACACTGGTAGTTTACAGCTGTGTGATTTATTTATTCTAATAAAGTCCAACAGCAGGGAACACTGGGAATTCAAACAACACAAGAAAGCACATCTAAAATTGGCAGAATTTTGAATGAAGTCTGGTGCAGTCTGACGAGCGGCTCAGATTGCTTCTCAGTACCGTTTGTCTTAAATTGGGTAAATTTTGAATGAAGTCTGGTGGGGTTGTTCAGGGTATTTTGTTGCAGAGATGTTTGGTGTGACCAGGCAATGTCACGGCTCGATAGCTGTCCTTCGTCAAACAGTTGCTGCAGAAGTTTCTATTTCTGCAACTTTACAGGCAACAGCAACCTGCGTATGGCAACATGAAGGAATGATGCAGATTTGCTTTAGAAAAGGTTCATGTGGAGTTGAGCCTGAATGACCTTTGACCCCACTGTCCACACGGTCACTCTCCAGCTGTGATGACAGAACTCTCCATCCTCGTCCTCATCATCATCAGGACCCAGTCTTCTACTTCTTCTTCGCACAGAAATCCTGATGAGTTACAGAAATGTTTTTTGTTCATCTTTTTTTTTGCTTTTTAAAATGCTCGTTAGCATAATTTGCGCCCCCTGCTGGGGGGCGGGCTAGCTGGGAGAATCACTACAGACAGCAGGTGGTGGTTTTTACCTGTCATCGGCAGGTGTGTCCGTGTGTATTTAGAGGCAGCGCTTAACACTGAGATTTTATTGTCTTTTACTTTGAAGGGATCTTTGGGGAATGAGTCTGCGACACGAACTCAACCAAAAGCACTGCTGATGATTAATTTAACCCCTCGCTTCTGGCCCCGCCCCCTCCTTTCCGGCGAGCGTTCATCCCGTGCCAAAATGGATCGCAAGCGTCTCGTGTTTTTAGTGTGTTTGGCATCCGGCGAGCGGCAAAACGGTCGGCCGCTGGTGGCGTTCTGCGAGACAAAGAAAATGATTTATTTATTTTCATAAAGGGGAAGTTCTCTCATTATTTTGCTTCATTCAATAAAGAAATCTGTATGTACTGAGGAGCCCCGCCTCCTGTGCTTCCTCACTGCTGACATCAGCTGTCTGCGCACACTCATTTCACACCAGGTAACCTGCGGGGTCAAACCAACCTGTGACATCATTGTAAATCATATTTATTCATATATTCAGTGAAATTAAGTGAATGGACTTCAGACAGAAGAAGGAATTTAAATTGGGTCAGTTTTGAATGAAGTCTGGCACGGTTTGAAATTCTGGATAAGTGAGCGAAATATTCTGTATTGGAAGCTCTTGATGTAAAATATTTGTTGTTGTCTAACAAAGGCAGGATTATAAATGACGTCTGGCACTGCTCGGTCAGTGAGACGGAACCACATTTAAAATGAGCCGTGGCGGGCTAAACCTAAGACGTGATAAAGTTACAGAACTCCCCATGAGTACAGTATGGCGTTAAATCAGATTATTTTAAATGGATTGAGGTTCTGTTCGATCACATTTGATCTTCTGCTGAGGCATGACAGGAGGTTAAAGTTGTTTTCAGATTTACTGATTAATCAGAGTTTAGATTAATCAATCTAAACTCCCAATTATACTATTTCAAGCACTGGAGCCACTGTCATTTTTTTTGATTAGTACATCATGAAAAACATCTGAAAATGGTGAAATTTTGAATGGACTCTGGTCGTTTTTTAATAATTCAGTTCAACACTTAATGACATGCTGCGTTTTAGCCAGGAATGTGTTTTTATTCCCAGAAGTCAAATGCAGATGCTTTACCTGATTTTACTGATATTTAACAAAAGGGGGGGGGGGGGGGGGGGGGAGTTTAATTTTATACCATTGGAAGGACCAGAGGATGAGTCTAAAAATGGTCAAAAATTTGATGAAGTCTGTTACTGTTTAGTGAAAGATTTTTATTGCGTGAAGACGTCTATGGAGATGGAAGATTCTGGAAGAAAAGTTTGGTAAGTGGACTTTTACTCGTATTTGATCTGATTCACATGCAGGAAGTTTCTGAAGGGCCAAAAACAGCAAACAAACTGGAACTAAACTGTGCTAATTTGGGTAAATTCTGAATGAAGTCTGGTGCTGTTTGCTTGGTCAGGAGTTTTGAAATATTTGAGTCTTATTTATACTCAAAGACAAACCTGAACAAGGTGAAAGTGCCACGGGCTGGTCAAAATGGTGCACTGCAGCGTGTCAGGAACATCAGTGGTTTCAGTTTTGGTCTCTCCCACGGTAGCTTTGCATAAGTTTAAATTCAAAACAAGCTGTTTTAGCTCCTCCCTCTTCGAGGCCAGCCTCATTCTCAGATGACCATTCAGATCAAAATCCAAATTCATTTTAAAATCACATTTCAAAACAAAGTTGATCAAAGAAACAAAAGGTTACAAATTGCAAAAACACAAGTGATGATATAACAGCCTGAATTCATAAGCTCTCACGACAAGTTCAAAGGCAAAGAATAAAAATGTGAACATGGAGCAGCGACTCGTTCTTAAGTGTAGGCTTTGGAACAGAGGAGTAGCTGGGCAGCATATCTCTGTGACCTTGAAGGACATTTAAAAAAACAAAATCTTAAAATCGATCCTAAAAAGCACAGGAAGCCAGAATGGAGGAGGCTACAGCTTACGGGTTCAGGTAAGAGGGCACCATGTTGGACTGAGTGAAAGGGAAGGCCTGATATTTACCAACGTAAAGGGCATAACAACAGTCAAGTGAAGCTGTAATGAAATAATGATAACTTAAAATTATTTAAAGATGAGGGCCTGACCTTGGAAGTCTCAACAGGTAAACACCTGATTTCACAACAGAATGAATCTGATTGTCCAGTGCCTACTGGTGATGGCCAGAGGGGCCGATGGCGCAATGTGGCAGCCTCGCTTCTGTCAGTCTGCCCCAGGGCAGCTGTGGCTACAACTGTAGCTGCCTCCACCAGTGTGTGAATGTGAGAGTGAATGAAT